CTGAATATATATATATATATATTATATATATATATATATATATATATATATATATATATATATATATATATATATATAGAGTTTTGATTTGATATTGATCTGTACACTGTTCTTTTTCATCAATGTAAAGATGGAAACTATTGATTTACATAACTTGTTAATTATGGTAACTAAGAGAATGATGATTGTTAACATATTTTATTTCACACTTGGCTATGCAGTCTACATGAAGATACCACCATAAACCTGGTAACAGTGAAATTTTATTTTTAAGATGTTCTTGACATCAAACCAAACATGAAATGCAATTTTTGTGTCTTTATGAATGACATGAACGGAAAAGTGTATTACATTTTTTCTGTCTACAAGAAAAATTTGTTTAACAGAAAAATGGTGCGTTCCCTTTGGCAATGCTTGGTTAAATGATTCTACACATAGATGGCGCTGCCAATGCTTAGCCACAAAGGAATCACTTTAATCTTGCGACCTAACTTTTCCTTGGTAAAGCGGGAAAAACATATTTTTTTACTATTGCTATCAATATTGACATTGTTATTTTTGTTATAAACATTATAATTACTACATTGTTACTGACATTATTAACAGCAATATTAGATATTAGAAAATATTATCGAAAACCAAGGAAAAGGAAAAACAAGTTAGACAGGTAGTTCGCATAATTGGCTCATTGGTGACAGAACTTGTGGAGCCATCTATATGTAAAAACAATTACTAAATCCAACACACAGTGGGCAATGGCATGTATGTACATGCCATGCCCAGCAGCTTGGGGTTAACACATCCAGATAACTTATTTCTCCCTGGACTGAAAATGCTTCAAAAAGAGGCTGTGAATTATTTTCTTAGAAAATCCTAACTTGGAAATTGCATATATATAAAAAACAAAAACAAAAAAAAACAGGAATCATAATTAGGAAATGGATTTTCAAAAGTAATATTTATGCCTTACATATGTGGTGGTTTAACTTGTATTTATAGTGACAGGATTTTGTGTTATACAGTGTTTAGGAGATATGTATGCAAAAGAACCATATCCTTTACATATAAAAGAAAGAAGAGAAAGAAAACAGAGCTGTGATATTGTTAGACAAGCATAATCACTCAAAATCACACACACATACACACACACAAATATGCATATAAATGCAAAGCTGAACAAGTTGTGATTACATTTTTGCTCATTGATGTATGTTGAACTAAATGTAGCATCTTATATTGCGGTTATGCTTGGCCTTAATTAGAAATTATTCAAGTCAAATATTTAACATTCTTAGTAACTGTATTATATTTTTGTAAAGCCAAGTTAAAGGAAATTCATATATGGAAATAAGTGCTAACGGGATTATTGGCGCCGTGTGGCAGTTCCCCAGTTTGCACCTGGCTCATTAGGTAGTTTGCAAACAACACTAGGCACCTAAAACCATTGATTTGGTTATCATATAAAAAAATAAAAAAAAGTAAAGGTTTACCTTCACTTTACATACAAGTGCCATAAAGTTTGACCTTACAAATGTTGTCACAACTAAAAGAGATGAATAATCTCCCTCTAAAGAGCCGATAGCGTGGAAAAGGCGACCAGCGTTGCCAACTGTAGCGGACACTCACTATTTGCCATGGCAAGCATAGATGCCAAACGTGATAAAAGGGTTAAAAGTGAAAGGGGTACCTTTTCAAAAAGACAAAAGGTGATCAAGCAGTAAAGTTGTAAGAAAATGGTTCATATTATTGTTTTAGTTCCCTAAGAATGTGCCAGTATTTTATATGATGTGTATAGCATTAAAATGTAAGTGATACTTGATGTTATTTTATTTACCTTTGATTAATGGTACATGATTAATGGTTGAAGCAAATAAATGTGCTAGACATCTAAGGTCATGTCACTGTTAGTTTTCTACCATTATCAACATACACACTGAACTTTTCCAAGGCAATAATTAGTGACCATGCTTCCTTTTCTATGGTTGCATATGATTTCTGGTGGGGCTTGAACTTTGTGGAGGAATAACATACGGGATGTAGTCCACCATCTCCATCCTCTTGGAGCAAGACTACCCCTGCAGCAATATCACTTGCATCAATCTGAAGTACAAATGGTTGATTAAAGTAAGGGCTTTTCAAAACTGGATTTGAGCTCAGTAGGTTTTTTAAGTTTATCAAAGGATACTTGACAGTCATAAGTCCATACAAAATTTTTCTTTGGACTAATTAAATCAGTTAATGGTTTTGCAACATCAGCATAATTTGGGCAATACCGTCTATAAGAACCTGTCATACCAAGAAAAGTTTGAACTGCTTTTCTGTTCTTGGGAATGGGTAAAGACTGGATGGCATCAATCTTTGCACTAACAAGAAACACACAACCACTACCTACTTCATGGCCACGTACTTTTAGTTTAGCATGAACAAATTCTGATTTTAACAAGTTCACAGTCAACTTAGCTTGTCATAAACGTTGGATCAATTGGTGCAGCACTCCATT